TTGAGGTAACAAACGTCTCGGATTTTTCTCGCGTTGTTCAGTTGTCTCACGTTGCATTTCGATTGTGACGTTGTGGCTTGTCAGCATTGGCCGCTATGTAGTCGTTTTCAAGGATGCTTGGATTATCCAACCTCAAGATTCAACCGATGTCAAATTGAGACTGGTCTGCTTATATCGTCTTAAATTTTGTCTCAGAATTGTCCCGCCAGATTCATCTTTGCTTAGATCAATTATATTGTCTTTTAGAATTGTCGAATGTCATGTTAATATTTTTGTCTTAACGTTTTGTCTCTAGTGTTCACCTTTATATTTGTCTTGCATCACTTTTTGTATTATTTTTTGTCTCAAGATCAACATATTCTGTCTTATCATTGTTCTCAGGTCACATTACATTGGTCTCACATTGTCTCAGATCACTTTAATATTGTCTCACATCACATTATATTGTCTTATTTACATGTTCTTCAGTCCCATTTACATTGTGTTAGGATAGTCTGCATAAACCTTATTATTGTCGTTTTTACATGTCCTCATTAGGTTCAGCTTTACATTTGTCTCAGATTATTCCTGTTTTCTATATTTGTCTCAGATTTGTACTCAGTATGTTCTTACCTTATATTGTCCTCAAATTTGTCTCAGAATTTGTTAGCGGTGTCGCCACATCGCAGCAGAATGTTAGGGGCATGAGTCTCTAACACCGAAGCCACTAACAAGCAGTGAGCATTCACCGAGCCAAGACCGAAGGCAGCGGCCACCTTACCCGCCCGAACTTCGCGCAATCGCCGCGCGTCGCGCCAACGACGTCACCGGCGCGAAACAGTGGTCGACAAAATCGGCGTAGAAAATAATACCCCCCCCCGCCGACTATGTGGGATTTCATCAAAGAACGACAGATCTCGTGATTCTTCGTGTCTGGAGCGCAAATGACCTCCGATTCAATCGATCGACCAGAACTAACAGATCGGATTGACGATAAACGATCGATCGCCGCCGACCACTGTTCGATTGATTGACCAACCCAACGAATCATGGATCGACCAACCAGTGTTCGATTGATTGACCAACCAAGCCACCAATTGATTTGACGCGAAAAACTGATCGATCGATTTGACCAAGCCAATGATTGATCGAGTCCGACCGACCACCGATACAATTGCCAGAAACTATGATTGGCTGACCACTGATGCGAGCGATTGACCACCTGATGTCGACCACCAACCAATCGGATCGAATCACTGACCACCGATCGATCGATCATTCGTCTGCGGGCGCCTTCCGTCTAACCGTCGTTGATGCGTCGAAGAGTGACTATGAGAGACAGAGAGAGAGCGACGTGAGTGAGTTAGAAACGGAGAGCGGTTGCTAGAAGTGTGAGTGGTTGAGTGGTTGTAGTGAAGAAGCACGCAGGAGGCGGTGCGGTTCTTAGCCGGAGAACTATAAACGGTACGGAATGAATGCCCCACAGGATTACTACATACAGTGTTCCTACAGTCTGTCGAAAGTGCACAAATGTAGCACAAACGAACTGCAATGATCATATATAAGATATATATATATATCTATACACAAGTGCGTATATATACTGATATGTATATGTAATATACTATATATATATTATACGATAGAAGAAGGAGGAGAGAGATTTATCCATGACATATCATATTATATTATATATATTATATATAAATATATACTATCGTTTGATAAGAAAGATATCAGGATATTAATAATGTATACTCTACTCGATAAGTACGCCCAGCTACTTACTAAGCTTAAATGATGCAAACTTAGCCTCGTACTTCCCCCCATCACCGCTCCCCCGTTCACATAACTCTCCCTCCCCCCGCCCCCGTCTCCCTGCCACCGCGCCTCCCCCTCTACTGTGTATATCTTCCCCTCGCTCTGCATAGCTGGCTGGTTTGGCGTCACCCTCACATCTGCTGGTTACCTGGCCACCAGGGGGAGCCTGAGCTCGCTGCTGGTCCTGCGCCATAAACTAATTCCTGTCGTCGTGCCCCTAGTGACAGAAAATACGTTTAACGCTCGATCGTGCCGCTGTGCAGCTCATCGCGCCCGCTTTGCAGCTTTGCAACTGCTCTTTATTTACTTAATACCTACAACGCTAACTTGCGTGGGAGCCGCTGGCTAAGCATTAATAACTGCTGTGGGGGCCGCTGCAAGCATTCAACACCTGCTGTGGCGGGCGGCTGCACAGCATAATACCTGCTGTGGGGGCGCTGCAAAGCATTAAGATACCCTGCTGTGGGGCGCTGCAAGCATTTAATACCTGGCCTGTGGGGCGTTTCTGCAAGCATTAATACCTGCTGTGGGTGCGCTGCAGCATTAATCACCTGCTGTGGGTGGCCGCTGGCAGAGGCATTAATACCTGCCTGTGGGGCGCGCTGCAAGCATTAATACTGCTGTGGGGCGGCTGCAAGCATTAAATACTGCTGTTGGGGCGCTGCAACATTAATACGCTGCTGTGGGGGCGCTGCAAGCATTAATAGCTGCTGTGGGGGCCGCTGCACACATTAATAGCTGCTGTGGGGGCGCTGCAGAGCTATTAATACTGCTGTGGAGGCGCTGCAAGCATTAATACCTCTGTGGGGCGCTGGCAATGCATTAATACCTGCTGTGGGGCGCGGCTGCACAGGACATTAATACCTGATGTGGGGGCGCTGCAAGGCATTAATACTGCTGTGGAGGCGCTGCAGAGCATTAATACTGCTGTGGGGGGCACTGCAAGCATTAATACCTGCTGTGGGGGCGCTGCGAAGCATTATTACTGGCTGTGGGGGCGCTTGCAAAGCATTAAAACCTGATGTTGGGGGCGCTGCAGAGCATTAATACCTGCTGTGGAGGCGCTGCAGAAGCAATTAAATCACCTGCTGTGGGGGGCACTGCAAGCATATGAATGACCGTGCTGTGGGGGCGGCTGGAGAGCATTAATACCGCCACCTGCTGGGCGGCGGCTGCAGGAGCATTAATACCTGCTGTGGGGGGCGCTGCAAAGCAATTAATCCTGCGTGGGGCGCTGCAAAGCATTTAATACCTGCTGTGGGGGCGCTGCCAAGCATTAATAACCTGGCTGTGGGGGCGCTGGGCAAGCATTAATACCTGCTGTGGGGCGCTGCAAGCATTAATACCTGCTGTGGGGACGGCTGCAAGCATTATACCTGCTGTGGGGGCGCTGCATAGCATTAATACCTGCTGTGGGGGGGCGCTTGCAAGCATTAATTACCTGCTGTGGGGCGCTGCAAAGCAGTTAATACCATCTGTGGGGGCGCTGCAAGCAGTTATACCTTGCTGTGGGCGCTGCAAGCATTAATCCTGCTGTGGGGGCGCTGCAAGCATTAATACCATGCTGTGGGGGCGCCTGCAAGGCATTAATAACCGGCTGTGGGGGCGCTGGCAAGCATTAATACCTGCTGTGGGGCGCTGCCAAGCATTTAATACCTGCTGTGGGGCCTGCATAGCATTAATACCTGCCTGTGGGGCGCTGCAGCTTAATACCTGCCTCGTGGGGGGCGCTGCAAGCATTAATACCTGCTGTGGGGGCGCTGCAATCATTAATAAGCCCTGCTGTGGCGGGCGCTTGGCATAGCTATTTAATTATACCTGCTGTGGGGCGCTGCAACATTAATGACCTGCTGTGGGGGCGCTGCAAGCATTACATACCTGCTGTGGGGGCGCTGCAAGCATTATACCTGCTTGGGGGCGTGGCAAGCTTTAATACCTGCTGGGGGGCGCTGCTAAGCATTAAATACTGCTGTGGGGGCGCTGCAAGCATTAATACCTGCTGTGGGGGCGCTGCAGAGCATTAATACTGCTGTGGGGGCGCTGCAAGCATTAATACCTGCTGTGGAGGCGCCTGCAAGCATTAAATTACCTGCTGTGGGGGCCCGGCTGGCAAGCATTAATTACCTGCTGTGGGGGCGTGCAAGTATTAACACCTAGTGGGGCGCTGCAAGCATTAAATACCTGCTGTGGGGCCGCTGCACGCATTAATTACCATGCTGTGGGGGCGCTGCAAGGCATTAATACCTGCTGTGGGGCGCGCAAGCATTAATACCGTGCTTGTGGGGGCGCTGCAAGAATAATAGCTGCTGTTGGGGCGGCTGCAAGCAATTAATACCATGCTGTGGGGTGCGCTGCAAGCCCATTAATACGCTGCTGTGGGGGCGCTGCAGAGCATTAAATAACCTGCTGTGGGGGCGCTGCAAGCATTAATACTGGCTGTGGGGCGCTGGGCAAGCACACTAATACCTGCTGTGGGGCGCGCTGCCAAGGCATGTAATACGGCTGACTGTGGGGGCGCTGCAAGCACTTAATACTGCTGTGGGGGCGCTGCAAGGCATTAATACCTGCTGTGGGGGCCCGCTGCAAGCATTAATAGCCGTGCCTGTGGGGGCGCTGCCAAGCAATGTAATACCTGCTAGTGGGCGCTGCAATGCATTAATACTTGCCTGTGGGGGCGCTGGCGAAGCATTAATACCTTGCTGTGGGGCGCGCCTGCAAAGCATTAAATCCTGTTGTGGGGCGCTGCAAGCTTAATCCTGCTGTGGGGGGGCTGCAAGCATTAATACCTGCTGTGGGGGCGCTGACGTTGACTGTAATAGATGCTGCAACTCGGTTGGCTGCGTCTGCCTCGGCGGCATCGACATCGGTGGCGCCCCCTTGATCCCCTGCTGCGGACTCGCGTGCTGCGGCATGCGCGCCTGCGACATCATCGTCTGCTGCATGGCCGCCTGTGATGTCATCGATTGCTGCATGCACTTGTGACGTCATCGTTTGCTGTTGGGCCTGGCTGACGCGCCTGAGACGAAGAAACGCAAATGCCATTCACCTTTTTCGATATGAAGCGCAAACAAAATTTTCGATGGTTTCATTTGTATTACACGACGCATTTCGTGGATGTATGCAGCTTACGGTAGCTTTGCGTTCTACGCACAGTCAAACCTGTACAGAAGGGTCACTTAAGAGCAATGCATGCAAGTGTCCTTTATAGACAGGTCACAGGCTCACCCTGCTGGCTGCCGGGCACCACTATCAGAGGTTTGAACGCCGTCGCCATCCGCCATTCGTCAAGCTAGCCGCTCAAGGCGACGTTCCCTGCCCTGCCAACCAGGTGGCCGCCCCCGCGCCACCCTTCTTGATTCCCGAATGGCTCTGGACGCGGCGTTGGCTGGCAAAAAGAAATGACGTCGCGGGACGGTGAGGCCATCGTCCGTACGTCCGCGCGACAACGACGTCGGACTACGGTATACTTATACATTATGATACATGATAGCAGAGGAAGGGGGTTGGAGGTGGATGGGCGGGAGGGAGGGAGGCAGGAGGATGAGGAGGAGGAGAAGGAGGACGGAAAGAGGAAGGACGGAAAGGAGGAGGAAGGATGACTCCCAGGCCCTGGACTCCGACACCTAATGCGTTGGCTTGATGTCAGCGATCCGCTGCCTTCGCCTCGTAAGAATTGACTCGTCTGGCTGTTCTGTAACGAAGATGCAGATAATTAGTACCTTGTTCTTTTTACCTAATTGATAGCGACATTAATAGTGCCAATAATTATTACTACTGTCAACTGCGAGATAACTATCCAGCAGCTATGCAAACAGTCGTACAAATGCGTTGGTCAGTGTATTACCGTACCACCCATCCGAAACTCGTTTAGCTTCACTGTTGGCACTAGTTGCGGCGCCGGGCAGCATAGCTTTGAACTGGTATCCCGCTAGTGCCACAGCTCAAGTGGCTTGCTCGCACGCATAGCTTTGAGCTGTATCCCGTAGCAATACCAGGTGGCCTGCCCGGCAGCAACTACCATTGAGCTGTAAATCCGCGGTACACACCAGTGGCGCTGCGCCCCCGCGTACTCTGAGCTGGTAAATCCGCGCAGCAACACAAGTGACGTTAGGGAGAGAGGGGGGGCATTTTCTGTTGAGTAGTTCTTGCGCTCTACCGCCGGAGGAGGAAGGAGGAGAGCTTGGCCGCATCTCCAAACACCAGCACAGCATCGTAAAGCGGAAGAGGGCGCGTGAGCTTGCGCGGTGAGAAGCGAGAGAGAAGTGCACTCCTTTCTGTCAACGAGAGAGAGAGAGAGAGAAGGCGTGCATTAGAGGTGAGGCACGGAGAGGGGGAGAGAGAGCAGGAAGAAGGGAGTGAGGGGGAGAAGGAGAAAGGAAGAGAGAAAGGGAGGGGAGGGAGAGGGGAAGAGAGAGGGGGAGGGGCAGGGAGAGGAGAGGAGAAGGGAGTGAGAGAAAGAGAGAGGGGTAGACAGAGAAAAGGTGTCGCTAGAGGTGAGGCATGGTCCGAGAGGGAATGGAGAAAAGAAGAGGTGGAGAAGAGAGGCGAGAGCAAGACAGAGAGAGATAGAGGACAGAGAGAGAGCAAGAGAGAAGGGGATAGGGGAGAGGGATAGAGGTGGTGTCGTATGAGCTGATGCACAGAGAGTGACGATGTGATGTTTGAAAGGGCGGAGACAGGGTACGAAAAGAGAGAGAGAGAACAGACGAGATAGCTAGGCAGAATCAGAGAGAGCAGAGAGGGGGGGGGAAGAGAAGAGAGCGAGAGATAGAGAGGAGAGATATAAAGAGAGGAGAAGAGAGAGGAAGAGAGAGAGAGAGAGAGAAGAGAGAGAAAGAGAGAGAATAAAAGAGGAGAGGAAAGAGATCGGATTGAGAAGAGAGAGACAGAGAGTCAGAAACATAGAGAGAGAGCAAAGACAGAAGAGAGAGAGAGAGAGAGAGAGAGAGAGAAGAGAGAGAGAAGAGAGAGAGAGAGAGAGAGAGGAGAGAGATATGAGAGAGAGAGAAAGAGATAGAAAGAGAGAGAGAGAGAGAGAGAGAGAGAGAGAGAGAGAGAGAGAGAGAGAGAGAGGAAGAGAGAAGAAGATAATGTAAGAGAGCATGGATGCGTACCTCAGCCATCAACGAAGCTAGCTGATCAGCGAGGTAGTCGCTGTAGTTAGACGAGTCGTGTGAAGGCATCGGATACGGCAGCGAGTTACACACCAGCACGCAGTAACGCCGGATCTTTGTGCTGTACGACAAACAAACAAACAATGGCAGCGAGTTTAACAATAATAATAACAACAACAACACTGACTGACAACAACAATAACAATAATAACAATAACAAAAATTCCATGCCAATCCTAACTTTTACTACTGCTATTTTTTCTACTGCATAAATCGATAGCAAAACCCATAAAGGTTAGCCATCCCTGCCCGAAGGTAACTGGCCCTGCACTAGAGGGCAGGGGGCAGAGGGGCGTGCTATTTGCTATAATCAGAGCGGCGGTGGACGGCACACGCACGCACGTACTTTGGCTCGTGGAAGGCTGTGAAGTCGTCGAACAAGTGCAGAGCGGTGGCCATTCCCTCGGCGATGTAGCTACTGCCGTCGCCCGTGCCCCCGGCGAACCTGAAAGCAGAGGTCAGAGGTCACGCACGTGCGCGAGGGAGGCGGGGTAAGCCGGAATGCATGCTAGGAAATGCGCGAGAGAAACACAGTATGAATGCTACACCACAAGGTCGTACTAGTAGCATTAGGGGTTTATTGCAGGGATGGTATAGAGAGAGCTAAAGCGCGTATCGTGTCCATGGCCTTTAGTAGTTTGTGAGGACAGACTATAGAGAGAACTAGAGAGCTAGAGAGCTTACGGTATTGTGTCCATGGCCTTTAGTAGTTTGTGGGGATGTGCCGTGGAGAGAAGGCAAGAGACGACGGGTTCCGGTGTGCAATCCAACGATTGAAACGTCACCAGTCCGAACATGTTGCTGTTGCACTGCAATCGCAATCAACAACGATGAGATCGCTAACTACATTGCAAAATATTTCCCGCAATTGTTTTGAGGCGGGTACATTGTACAGGGGGTAGGGTCCCCATGTGAGATTAGTACGACTACCACTAGTAAACTCCCCACAGTATTATCACCGTGAAGCGGCATGGGTTGTTCCCACTGGACTCGCCACAGTCTATCCGATTTTCCCATACAGGATGTACCGACGTGCAAAACTTAAAAAAGCACGCCCTATCTACGATTCACTCATTCGAGCACCAAGCACATTGATTCTAGATGCATGAAAATTAAACCAAAAAAAAGTTTAAAAAAATTAAGTGTATCTTATGGCAGCTGCTGCCATCTGGCGGTGGGCGGCGGACTTACGTCGTATCCGCAGTCGAGTTCGTCTATCTTCGACCCATGTAGGTGCCTGCGAACATCAAACCGACAGCAGTGATAAACAAATCACTCACGAAATAAACACTGGCTCCATATTCGTCTGAGCAGTTGTTGCGCATGCGCTGTTCATGTTGTATTACATAAATGTAATATAATGCTAGTCTAGGGAGGCGCCTACTCTCTAACGCTAACCCTAATCCTAACCCTAACCACAGCCCTAACACTAACACTAACTATAAACCGACTCGGTTCTATTATTATACGCTCGGTTTCGTATATATACGCGAGTGATAGTACCAAACACTATCTATGGTGTATAACCACATACGTAACGCATGTATGCAGGAGCGTCACAGCCGTAGAGCTGCCGTAGCAAAACGCTACAGGCCCCCAGCCTAAAGAGCATCTAGATTTAAAAATTGTCTGGGGGGGAGACCACCCAGACCCCTCCTTCACACTTCCTACCTTCGGCACTCGTGCCGTGCGCCTGCGGCATGCAACATGAACAGCGCATGCGCAACAACTGCTCGGACGAATAGCGCATACGAACAGGTGTCCGATGCTCGGACGAATATCCACGTCGTTATGCTAACTATATACACCGGGGTTCCAAACTAGGATTTAGCTACTAGCTACTTTTTTTCAAACTAGAAAGTTTTATACGTAGATAGCTTACTCGAGCGTTGGGACGACGTAGGCATTCTTCAGCTCCTGAAAGTAGGGTGCGAGGTTTCCTGTGTTCTCCACGACAAAAACAAGGTCGGCGGGAGACCCGCCGGCGTTCGAATCCTGCGTAACCATAGTTACGCGCACCGCCTGCTAGTTCCTAGTTGAGAGTCAGTGGCACTGGTAGGAGGCTAGAAGCGTATGTAAGTTATTGACAGTTACCGGTACGGTAGTTTGTGAGGACCCAGGACTCGGGAGTCGGGGTCCTACTCCTAGAAAAGCAGTGATACCAGGCTACTATTTGTATTACTGCTCACAACATTTGGACGGTCACGTTCTTCACATTGTCACGTTGGCGACGGAGTTCGGTTGTAGAGAAATCGGTCTACGATGGCTTAAATATTAGCTTATGACAACGAGTATAAGTGAACCGCGGACAAAATGTAAAGACTACAGTTTCTGTATTTCAGTTTTGTTGCGTACGACGACTCTGCCATCTATCGGTAGCTCATAAAAACTTTTAAATTTATTGCATCATGTTGGTGATAACGTTACTCTTCGGAAATGTGTACATATATAGCATAAAAGCATATATGACGACGAGTCACGATTAGTATTACTGCTTTTCGTATTTACTCTGTGCATATTTGCCACTTTATAATGTTCGAACATTTATTATTTAATTGCCAAAGTATCAATTAAATATATTTTAGTTCGAAAGATGTCGCTATAATCGCAAAATGACAGTCATCGGAGACTGGACGCCTCTTGGGTTAGGCAAAAATGTATTTTACAGGTAATTTCATTAATGTTAGTAAGTCTTACTCTCGTATATGTGAATATTAACATGCTTCACAAGTTCAGAGAGCTGATAATCTATAATAATGTTAGTGCCACCGTTACAGTTACAACATAACGCAGCCCTATGCGCAACGTTGTACTCGTCATTTATGATTATTTCAAGCAGACGAACTAAGCGTTGTTAGTCACTTAGTGTTACTGTACTATGAATATTATTGTTTAGCGTCACTAACGACAGTGTCGCGAACATTTTTTTCCGTTGACGGTTGAGCAATGAAATTCGACCACCACTTCCCCTCTGCGCTATGCCACAGGCACTTGGACCGTCTCAATAAAAAAAATAATGGTAAATAAACACGAAATGTACCAAGTCCAAGGTCCAAAGTCTTAATGTTTCTCTACTCTATTTCGCCTATAATCACCTGTAAGTGTAAATGCCAGTCAAATGCTCATCTGCAACACGCAAGTACACCGCACGCCCGCGCTGTGCACAAACAACATGAATAAGAGAGCTCGTGTTTTGTTTACCATTAATTTTTTTTATTGAGACGGTCCAAGTGCCTGTGCGCTATGCCCTTGCTGGCGCTCATAGAGTCTATGTCTCCCAGGGCCAGGGTACCGCCGGAACGTACCCTGGGTACGCTTCGGTATACTGGAACGTACCCTGGTAACTATTTGATATTGTTAGGGTTAGGCTTAGGGTTAGGGAGTAGGCGTAGGCGAGGTACGGTCCGGCATATTAGATAGTACCAGGGTACGTTCCGGCAGTACCCTGGGGGACATAGACCCTCTCAGCCTTGCTGGCTTTGCCCTCTATTTACACAATATACGTAACACTGTCATCATAGATTGTTGACGAGTACCGAACTTAGAGATTGTAGATCTCAACTTCAAACAAGTTGAGTTTTCACTGCGAAGACGATACCGGCCATTCATGCTATTCCGCCTAATTGTTCTCCTGATTGATTACGCATTTCAGTAAGTACGATCTGTACTCGATGCGATGGGTTGAGCAGGTCGATCCCTCGAAGGTGCTCATCGTTGCGGCGCCGTACGGCGGACCCATAGGTACGAATACACGCGGACAGCGTTTGTGTTTGTTTCTGATGTGTGTGTTCCAAATATATGTTTGTAATATATGTATCCGAATATATGTATCCAAATATATGTATCCGAATATATGTATCTGAATATATATCCAAATATGTGTATCCAAAATATATCATATAACAGCCTCAAAAGTATGTAAAATCTGATGGGTGCAATAATGTTGAGCGGTCAAAATAATAAAGTTTCCAAGCAATACAATACAGTACAATTAATGCTATACAACACGAATAGAAAATGTAATGCAGTAACGACAACATTTTTTGTGCAATTGAATGATTAAGGTATGCTACAAAAATATTTCTACACATACGCACTCATACTTGTGCGCTCACTCTCATACAAGCACACATGCACACACACACACATGCACGCACACACACACACACACGCACACACACACACACACACATGTATACACATTCAGTCAGAATATATCAATTTTATGCCTTGCTACGGATTTCTTGCTGCAGCCGTGACCAGGGACGACTCGAAGATCGTCAAAGTTCAGGGCAGCACGAAGAAGGTCATCTTTATTTACTCTGCTGCCGGACAGAAGCTCTCCGAGTTTGTGGTAATTTTTAGCGACTTTTTTCTTCTCGATCACGTGCGTTTTCCTTTGATTAAATTCGCTTGATTTTCCCAGCAACATACGTACAACCCTCTAGCTATGGATGCAAGCAGGGCTCGAATTAACCGACGGCACCGACGGCAATTGCCGTCGGTGCCCCTATCAATTGCCGTACTGCCCCTGAAAATCCAACTCGACCGACGGCAGTCACCTGCCTTGCCCTTTTGTGTAATTGCCGTCGGTGCCCTTTAATCTACTGCCCTAGTTTCGTTTTTAGTCGAATCAACATAACACGTGCGCGTGCGTGCTGTAGTTGCAATGATGAGCTTAAAACCGATAGTCGCAGGAGGGAACAATAACAGCATCGGATAATTATTCACTCCTGATAGCGGGCATATAAAATTTATTGTTACTGTACTTCCATTAGCAGAGGTGGGTACAAGGGTCGGTGTTACGGTGTAAGCTTACATGGGGGCATATTGTTTTGTACATTAAAAGCAAGACGATGTTGATGTACTAATTTGTTATGAGTTTTCCTTTATTTTACAAAAGTGCCTTGGTGCCCTTCTCAAATTTTGAAAGTTGCCTTGGTGCCTTTTAAAATTGCCTCTGTGCCCTTCCATTTTAGAGAAAATTCAAGGCGATTTCTCACGTGCCCTAAAAAAATTGCCTTGCCCTTCTCGCCGCTTAATTCGAGCCCTGGATGCAAGCGTTAGCTGGCGTGCCGACTTCGCAAATCCTCAAACGGACACGTACTAGATTAAAAACATGATTAATACAATTTAATAGAAATCTTCAATAATAATTCAAATTAATAATAATAATGATAATAATAGTAATAACAACAATATATTAATCATATATTAGTATCAATTGTTAATTATCAGAAGAAAATACATTAATAACACATAATATTAACAACATCAATAATTTAAATCTAAGGTAATAATAAATAAATATATTAATTTTCATAAATAAATACGTCTAAATCGAATGTAATAACAAAATAAACGTAATTGTTGTAAATATCGGATCTTGTTTCTATGAGCGTCGCGTGTCTTGCAGTGGAACAGTGGTCGCATCATACACATGGGCTGGTCGTGTTCGGAGGACCTACTCTGTGTGCAGGACGATGGGCAGGTGCTGGTGTACAGCCTGCTAGGAAAGTTCAAGAGAGTGTTCGGCATGGGACAGGTGAGAGTGTAGGACAGGTGAGAGAAGTATTGGACAGGTGAGAGAAGTATTGGACAGGTGAGAGAAGTATTGGACAGGTGAGAGAAGCGTGGGACAGGTGAGAGAAGTATTGGACAGGTGAGAGAAGTATTGGACAGGTGAGAGAAGTATTGGACAGGTGAGAGAAGTATTGGGCAGGTGAGAGAAGTATTGGACAGGTGAGAGAAGTATTGGGCAGGTGAGAGAAGTATTGGACAGGTGAGAGAAGTATTGGACAGGTGAGAGAAGTATTGGACAGGTGAGAGGATGGTGAGAGAAGTGTGGGACAGGTGAGAGGATAGGACAGGTAAGATTATCTGTCGTTGCCATGGCGATCGATCTCCGTTCCAGGAGGCGAAGGACACTGGAGCTGTTGACTGCAGGATCTTCTCGACGTCTCTGGGAACAGGATTGGCCGTTCTCGCCGGATCGTACCGGATCTTCACCGTGAACAACGTCGACAGTCCGACGCTGAGGCGCCTCGCCGAGATCCCAGGTGATGTTCCGCGATCGCCGTTTGTTCCTCGTTCGTTCCGTGATTGTCATATACTCTTCATTTGTCATTGTTCCTCGCTCATTGCATTCCTCGTTCGCCATTGTTCCTAGCTTTCGTTGTTCCTGGTTCATTGTTTATTCTTGCTCGTGGTTCATTCAGCGATCGACGTTCGTTCCTTGTTCGTCCGTTGGCTGTTCCCGTCGTTCATCACATCACATCTGGAGCTGTTCTTCGTTTCACATTCCTCGATTTTTTTTTCCGGTCATTCCTTACTGTTCGTTCTTGTCATGTTCCCCTCCCCATTGTTGTTATCATGTTCCGTCCATCTCTCGCTGTTCCTCACCGTGACCCCAGCTCTTGATGCGCCCCCTACAATCAGCGTTTCTATCCGGCAGGTCTTGATGCGCCCCCTAGCAGCTGGGCCGTGTTTAACGTCGACAGACAGACGCGCGCCCTGGTGGCAAAAGATGCCGACCTGTATCTACTGGATCAGGAGGAATGCCAGCAGCAGGTTAGTCTCGTTAATTAATTAATTAACTAATTAATTAATAGCTCATTCAATTAATTATTATATTATTAATTACGCATTTGTTCTATACTGTACATTAAATTTATTATGTTAGTATTAATTATACATTACTATAAACGATTACGTAAAAATATTGTTAGGATGTTAATAATTAAAATAATTATACATTATTAATTACATAATCATGTCATTAGTGATGCTGAATATCAGACAAAATGTGCTGGTGTACGCAGAGACGCTCGTTAACGATTGTTAGCCTAATTAATGATTGCAGACGAGCATCCGTCAGCCCGTGCTGGCATGTGCGAAGACGCTCGTTAACGATCGTTAGCCTAATTAATGATTGCAGACGTTGAGCATCTGTCAGCCCGTGCTGGCGTATGCGGAGACGCTCGTTAACGATCGTTAGCCTAATTAATGATTGCAGACGTTGAGCATCTGTCAGCCCGTGCTGGCGTGTGCGGAGACGCTCGTTAACGATCGTTAGCCTAATTAATGATTGCAGACGTTGAGCATCCGTCAGCCTGTGCTGGCGTATGCGGAGACGCTCGTTAACGATCGTTAGCCTAATTAAT